GGGATTTTTAAAAAAGAAATGAATCAGGAGTAGCATATTCTTCTGATGTTTTGGAGAACTTTGGATGAGAGAGAGAGTGCAAATTAATTCGAGATAATCTAATGAAGTTTGCAGCCTAATGACGCTTACAGGATCTTTGTGGAAACAAACTGGGTTGCAGATCCTGAGATCCGAAACTCAGTTGAGAGATAAATTCAGAATTTTGCAGCTCACCCTGAAATAAAAACCCAGAACTGGGGTATAAAACCAGAATTCATGGCTTTAGAACTTGAGGGGAAAAAACCAGATTTCAACTCATCCCCAGACGCTATGATACTGATAGATCCAGGACACAATAATTATTGGTCAAAGGTGAATGGAAAGGTACTAAACTTTAACTCTGATCATCCATTTTCTGATAGATTTTTACCAAAACAGAGCCATGTTGAAACAGCATGTTGAAAAGTAAAGTCTTACACTTAGGCAAAAAAAAAAAACCTAAAAGGACACATATAGACTGGGTGAATCCAGGTTTAATAGTTGTAATTGTGAGAGGGATCTTTGGAGTCTTAGTGGACAACCAGTTAAATATGAGCCAGCAGTGTGCAGTGGCAGCCAAAAAAGCCAATGCTATTGTCAGCTAGTGCTCCATTCAAAATCCAAGAAAGAAATACTTAGACTCCGTTAATCAGAGAAAAGATATCCTTTACTGGAAATCAAGTGGTAGCAACAAAAGAATTCTGAATCTGAGAAAATGGGCGCATAAATCACATATACAAAGTAATGGCAATGTTCCCACCCCCAATAGTTCAAATGGTTCTTCCAATTAAAAGTTGTGAATATCATCATGTGGACATCTCCAGGTGGTGATGAAGCTTTTGTCCGTTGACCTTGACATAGTTTGATAAAGGGTTGCAGCTGCGCATAGCATAGAATAGAAACCTAAGGATAGAATAGAAACCTAAGCAAGAATGTACTCCCCCCCCCAGCTTATACAGTTCTGGTTTGTAACACCTCCAGCTCACTTCCCATAATTTTCCCCCCTCCTCCCCCCGTTACTTATGACAGCCGAAAGATGCAAAGCAAAGGGAGAAAATCTTGAAGGCTGACAGCTATCCTAAGTTGCATCAACAGAGGGATACAATCGAGATCAAGTGAGGTACTAAGACCACTCTATAAATCCTTAGTAAGACCACACCTAGAGTACTGCATCCAGTTTTGGTCACCACACTATAAAAAAGATGTTGAGACTCTGGAAAGAGGGCAGAGAAGAGCAACTAGGATGATTAGGGGACTGGAAGATAAAACATACGATAAACGGTTGCAAGAATGGGTCTGGTTAGTCTAGGGAAGAGAAGGACCGGGGGAGACAGGATAGCAGTCTTCCAATATTTGAGGGGCTGCCCCAGAGAAGAGGAAGGGGGTCAAGCTATTTTCCAAGGCCCCCGAAGGCCAGACAAGGAATAATGGATGGAAAGTGACCAAGGAGAGATTCAACCTGGAAATAAGGAGGAATTTTCTGACAGGGAGAACAATCAACCAGTGGAACCGAAGTTGCCTTCGGAGGTTGTGGGAGCTTCATCATTGGAGGCTTTCAAGAAGAGATTGGACTGCCATCTGTCAGAAATGGTGAAGGGTCTCCTGCTTGGGCAGGGGGTTAGACTAGATGACCTACAACAGGGGTCCCCAACCACCGGTCCATGGACCGGTACCAGTCCGTGGAACAAATCCTACCGGGCTGCTGGTTTGCTGGGCGCCGCCATCTTGTTTTGATGAAAAAGTGCTTCCGGTGAGCTTGTCTGGGTAGAAAGCTCACCGGAAGCACTTTTTCATAAAACAAGATGGCGGCGCCCAGCTGATGCCGGTACCGGGCCGCGGCATAAAAAAGGTTGGGGACCACTGACCTACAAGGTCCCTTCCAACTCTATGAATCTGTAATCTGCAAGCATGGTCTTCTCCAAGCAGCAGGGAGCAGTGATACCTGTAAAGTCTTATATACACAAAACCTCTGTTTTAGGATCAGTTGCTACCTGTTCCCCAAGCAGGTATGTTCATAAGGTGTTCCATGAGGAGAATGTGGTACCCACAAAGCACCAGGCGCAAAGGTTACAGAAAAGACCTGGATAATATGATCATTCCTTATCATCTGGTACCTTGGCACTCAGCCGCAACCGGTCGATGGTATTCTCAGCTTCAGCGTACTTGGTTAGAAGTTTGTGGTAGTCTTCCTAAAAGACGATGAAGAGAAGAACATGGAATAGGAAGTGCTTTGGGAGTGCATGATCTGTTGTATATGGCACAGAGCAATGGTCATATGTATGAGTCAGTGGCCAAGCATCCAAATTTTGATCACATGATCATGGAGATGCTGCAAAGGTCCTAATCGTGGAAAACAATCCCAAGTCACTTTTTTTAGTGCCGTTGTAACATTCAAGGGTTCACTGAGAGCATATATGCACCAAAGACAAATTCCTTGTGTATTTAATCACACTTGGCCAATAAAGAATATTCTGTTCTGTTCTAGTCTATTCGATTCCTATTCCTATTCTACCCTCCTCTACTCTACTCTGTATTCTGTTCTGTTCTATTCTATTCCTTCTATTTTATTCTATCATATTCGACTCTATTCTGTTCTGTTCTATTCTAGTCTACTCTGTTCTACTCTACTCTCTTCTACTCTGTATTCTGTTCTATTCAATTCTATTCTACTCTGTATTCTGTATTCTGTATTCTGTATTCTGTATTCTATTCTATTCTATTCTATTCTATTCTATTCTATTCTATTCTATTCTATTCTATTCTATTCCACTCCACTCTATTCTGTATTGTTCTATTCTATTCTGTTCTGTTCTGTTCTGTTCCGTTCCGTTACACTCCACTCTGTATTCTATTCTATTCAATTCTATTCTGTATTATGTTGTCTACTCTATTCTATTCTATTCTGTTCTGTTCTATTCTTCTATTCTATTCTATTCTATTCTATTCTATTCTATTCTATTCTATTCTATTCTATTCTATTCTATTCTATTCTAATTCTATTCTATTAATTCTAATTCTATTCTATTCTGACCTGGCCTAACCTAACCTAACCTAACCTAATTCTATTCCTACTCTATTCTATGTTGTGTTAAGAGCTACCTGTATATGGATGAACCAGATACTAGAAGCCAAGGATTGAATTGCTACGAATGGTGCTTTAACCTTGAAGGATGCACACACAAAGGCGTGGGGGTGAAAAACACACAAAGAGGGGAAATGTGCATAATGTGTGCAGGTTATAACCTCTCTCCGCTTAGATTGATGCAGACATACGGTGGGTACATTAAACAGCTTGCTTTTGGCTACTGGCCTAGATTTTTCTATTGATGGCTTACAGAGACGGAGTACGTACTCACATGAATGAGCAAACCTCCAGACCAGCGAGAATAATCATCACCATCATAATAAAATACATTTCTGCAAATTGAAAAGCCTCTATGCCAGACAGAAAGAGTTTTCGCCCGGAAACTATCTATGAATATATTTATGGAATGCAGTTTCGGTTTTGCAAGCCGCTACACTGCTCCCCCCTCCCTTCCTGTTGGCAACTCTAAAAGACCAGAGAAATATTTTATGAGTTGACGGTGTGTGTGTGTGTGTGTGCATTACACAATGAACCCCTGTGTGACCACAGCTGCAAGGATTTGCTTCACAAACGTGCTTAAGACACGTCGTAAAGCTGGGGCGAAACTCACTTGACCGATTTTCCCACTTTGCGGCATCCATTTGGGGCTCGATATTGCAGTCGTCATCCGAGGACTGCCTGTGTTCTCTTCCTGAACACAGGCGGTCCTCGGATCACGACCGCAATATCGAGCCCCAAATTGATGCTGCAAAGTTTTTCGGCATTTTTCGGAACGCGTCTGGGAGACCTTACCTGAAGCTGATGCACCAGCTCCGTAGCCTGTCTGGGGGACTTCAGTTCCTCGGGAATAACAGAGACGGTGGGCGTGAGGCATTTTGCGGGAGGACCTTCTCCGCTATTCAGCAACACCTCTCGGACAATCTCGGCAGGAGACTTGAAGATGACTGGCTTCCTAACCTCCTTCCTGCTGGCTGGAGAAGTCTTCCCTTGAGGTGGTTGGTAGCTTTGAGGATCCTTGGGGAACTTGACCCGGGGTTCTACTTTGGAGAGATCTGGTAATGGGTAGTTGAGTTTCCCTCGGCCATATTGGGTGACGTCTTTTGCCCCAGAGTTTGACAAAGTCTCTCGGTTTGGTTCTTTCAAAGCAGGACGTCCCGGTTTCTTCTGACTGGTAATTCGTTGAGGGCTCAGAGATCTGGACTGCCTTGGACCTTTGGACAACAGCCCATGGGGTACATCTGCTTTTGGCTTGTGTGTGTGCTTCTCCGGTTGGCTACCAACTCGTGTGAAGGTGTGGGGCATCTGCGTTGTCCCTCTGGAATCCAAAAGACTTTCCTCAGCGTGGTTGAAAGCGAGCTGCTGGAGGGCTTGAGATTCTTTCTCCAGAGGTTGTTCCAAGTTCTCCATCCAAGATAACTCTGGACAAGTCTCGGCATCGATGCTGGGACAATTCTGAAGATCTTCCAAAGATTGGAAATCCAAGAGGCGCCGATTGTACTGCAAGGAACTTGCGAGAGAACCATAGCTTTCTGGGTTTCTTCCTGACTCCCAGGAGAACTTTCGATCTTCAGGGAAGTCCAGACCATCCTCACCCGGAATTTGAGGTTCAATTTCTAGTTGGGTGCACATTGGAGGGGGACCACAGGGAGAAGGGCTAAGGTTGGAGCTCTCAGAGAGTTCATCATCCACATTATCGGAGGCAAAGCTGCATTTATACAAAGCAAGAGGGTCTTGCAGGACCTCAGGACTGGGACTGAAGTCTGAACTGGACTGGCCTTCAAAAAAAAGCTCAGCTTGGACATCCTCCCGGCTGTCCCATGTCCCTCTTGTCTTCTCAACTTCAGTGCTGTCTTCTTCACGCCTCCTATCTAGCTGGAAGTAAGACCTCATGCCAAGATCCTTGGGACTCCTTTTCTCCTCTAAACAAGAGAAGGACATAATATTAGAAGGTCTCTCTCACCTTGTCCTAATTATCAACCCATTTCCTTCCAACCCATCTTATAGTTTAGGGCGGCCAACACAAATCAAAACATTACATTTTGTTCAAAGCTAATAACCACAAATGAAAAATGTATCAAAGGGTATAGGGCAGGG